ATGTTTAGTCTCCAAATGAAGAGCTAAACTCTTCCATCTTGGTTTTGCTACTTTGAAGCTTAATGAATTTGTAAGTTGTGAGTTATTTTCTTTAATCTTCTTCCTTGAATATTAATTATTTCCTATTCATATTCCATATTAATATTTTGAGCATTACTTAAAGGATCAACTAAATTTGTTTCATATATTAATTATTACTAGAATCAATCGATTAATACGCTTGTTATTAATTCGGTTCTTTCAACGGTAGTAAAACTTGGATTATTAATGCATGCGTCTCATGGTTAATAATCTAAGGGGAACTAATTATATAGATTAAACCAATAAACCGCTTGTGTTGAGGTTATCAATCTCAATCGTTTTCATCTTAAGTTTATTGCTACTATCGGGTTAATATACGACGCGTGTTCTATATTGACTCGGTAGTGAGTTTTATTAATGAACGCGTCTCGTTATTAATAACTACCCTCGATGAACTGGATATACTCCTCGATTGAGTATTCGAGAGGAAGATAGTTAAAGATATAACCGGGATCGACGAATATTTCATTAAGTGGATAAAAGCAAAACCAAGTTCTCATCTCTATTAATTAAACTCATATAAGTCGTTCATCTTAGTGTTAATTAAATTGAATCAAATCAAACTTAAAACCCCCTTGTTACTATTTATATAAAAGAAAAGTATTTCTTTCCCCGTGGATACGAACCTTACTTCAATATACTACGTATATTTGTTGTATTGTATTTGTTTTGAGTGCACCTCACGACAAGTGCACGTCATTTATCTCACACTCATTCAAAGTTTGGGGTATTTTAATTATTTTCCCCAACATTTAAAACAACATTAAATATTTCTGTACACAATATTGGAGTAACGAAAAAAATACAACAAAAAGACCTACACACTAAACCGACTCAAGTCAAACTTTAGAATCTAGACAAATATTGGACCAAAAAAAGAGCGGACAACAGTCGCTATGAGCCACGAGCGACTACAGCCTGGGCGACGGAAATACAAGCGGAAGCTGGAGCGTGCGGACGATTGAACGATGAAGACGGATGGAAGCTGGAGTGTAGATGCGACTGTGCGTTTGAGAAGTCGTCGACTCGTAGATAGGTCTGTTTTTTTTATTTTATTTTGATGGGTTCAAAGAATTGGGTTTGGGTTTGGGCCTGTTCGAAATCGATTAACTTACGTTTGGGTCGTCGCTTAGGCGTCTATGGCGTGTTTCCGACGCCACAGCGACGCTGCGTTGGTCTCCCATGTTAAGCTTCAGATAGCGGCAGGACGATATAGCGACGTTTAGGCGACGCCATGGCGACGCTGTAATAACTATGGTGTTGATACTTTGTTTAGGGGAAGTTTTATAGTATTTGGAGGGGATTTCAGAAAAACGTTGCCCGTAGTGCATTCAGGAACAAGAAATGACTTTGTTAAAGCATGCCTTCTTAGATCATTGATAATATGGCCACATGTCCAGTGGTTGCTTCTTATAGTCAACATATGTGCCCATGAAGACCTGATGTGAGTTTTCTCGCACTTAAATACGTAGTAGAATAGGGTGCAGGTACGAGTATCGTCTCCGCAAGGACGGACAAAAGGGAATTTAGTATTAACAAAATTCAGCGATAAAAACTAAATAAAATAAATGCAATTGTGCGAGATTTGATTGGTTGGAAAATTAAAATGCAATTAAATGAATAAAGAGTTTGGTTCTTTCTATTTAATTAATGACGGAATTAAACATTGATTGACTCCGGGGTAATCAAATTTCTGGTTGATCAGGCTTAATCACATGAAAAACAATTAATTGAGTAACGCCAATCAATACTAACTTCTAACCGCTCTTGCGGCGTAGAGTACAATAATTTAGGGAAGCAGACTGATCTCTCATGCGACAAGTATCTAAATTATTTCCAAAACGAGCGAGCGTACGGCCCCTTAACCGTTACTAATCTTTTAGCAAACGATTAAGTGTGATCGAAGGTGTCCTAGAATAAATTAGATCTCTCTTAATTTATTCTACAAGCAATTATAATCGTAGCTGCAGATATAGGTTACAAGAGATATCAATTGAATCATTCAAACACAAATTAAGTAAAGATTAATGCAACTAAATCATTAAGAACTAGCCATACATCATAATCAGCCTCTTCATCAATCCCTAATTAAAACTACTCACAACTCATAATTGAATCAACAATAGAGTTGGGATGAAAAGAATTAATTGTCATTAATTAAAAAGTTGGAACTTACAAATAATCTCAGGGTCTTGAAGAACAATGCGGAAAAATAGATATAAACTCATCCCTAGGCCTATCTTTAAGCTCTCCCCCTCCCAAAATGGGGGTTTAGGGGCTTGAAATAGAGAAAACATGTGAATTTGGGACGAAATAGGACTTTCCAGCGCAGGCACGGCGCACAAGCCCGGCGTGCCCGACGTCTGTGCCTCCGGAACAACATCGTCTTGGTCTCGGGCACCACGTGCCTCTCTTGGCACGCACGGTGTGCCTGACCGGCAGTAGCCTTCCTCGTGCTCCCAGCGTCTAGGCACGGCGTGCCTGTCTTCAATTCACGTCACCGTCACACTGCCAAGCACGCAGGACGTGCCTCCCTGGTAGGCACAGCGTGCGTAGCCCTTTTCTTTATTATTCACTTCCGTTTCTCGCTCTGAATGCTCCCGTTTGATCCTGTGATCGATCCTAAAGGTCTTTTGTCATCAAATCTTCATCGTAAACATCCCGATGACCTCCAAAGCTCTCGATTCACTTTCAAATGCTTCTCTACTTTCAAATCTTCATCATAAGGACATGTTTCAAACTGATCCTTATGTGTTGATGTCGCGCTCTATACTCACAACAAAGAATGAAATTGGCTCTGATTTGTACTTGGTTCTTTCTTTCTAATAAAACATGGAAAATGTTCTTCGAAATTGTTCCTACTGATTTTGATGGTTTATCTTCCGGGTTAAAAAAAAAGAATGAAATTGTTGACTTCATTAACTCATCGTTGATGGGAAAGTTTCCCGGTGAATAACACACATATTTTAGTTATGATGATCATATTGCTCAAAGTTGATTGTCATTGACCAAGAAAAGTCAATTTGGCAAACCTTTTCGGGACGGAGGGAGTATTAGGTAGATAATAAATATAAGTAGATATAATATATGATAGTATGTATTTATATGTAGATAATAAATATATAAGTAGATACTCTCTCCGTCCCATTGGACTTTGCCAACTTTCCCTTTTAGATTGTCCCAAAAAAAATTGTCGCTTTCTTATTAAAGCAACTAATTTGTTGTTGTTCTGCACATTTATCCCTCCTCTGCACAAATTTCAACCACGCATTTATTAATATTCTTATTTCTCACCTACTTTGCACTTGACAAAGTTCAACGGGACGGAGGGAATATAATAATTGTATAACTAATTTAAATAGATATGAATAATATGATACTCCCTCCGTCCCTCAAAACTTTGCCAAAGTTGACTGACACGTAGAATTATAAAGTAAAAAATATGTGGTTGAGATTTGTGCAGAGGAGAGAGAATTAATAGGAACCACAAATTCTTTGTTTAAAAAGGAATGTGGCAAAGTTAGCAGGACAACCAAAAAATGAAAGTTGGGAAAGTTATAAGGGACGGAGGGAGTATATATTAATAGGTGTAGAGAAAATGAGAGAATTGATAAGATAAAGATGGAGAGTTGGAGATGATTAAAGAGTATTAGAGAGTAGGAAAAATAAGAGAATAAGTGTAGAAAAATGTTTAGATATTAGGAATATTTATAGTTTTTTTACCCCACACCCCCACCCCCACCCCAACCCCGCCCCCTCCCTAGACAGACTTCAACGGCTATAGAGCCGTTTGGACACCCCACAAAACCATTTAAAGCTTTAAAACAAAAGTTTGAAAAAATATATATGACCGTTGGCCCGAACCGGTCCCTGATCGGCCGGCCCGGTCACCGTATTCTGCCCGTACCCCGTCCCCCTAACCCCGGTTCGGGCCTCAAGGCCCGGACCTGGTCAGCCGGGCCGGGCCGGTACCGCACAGTGGCGATCCGGGCTAGTCCGAACCAGTCCACCACTACTTCAGACTCCTGTTGTTTTGTCATTTCCTCGACAAATTATACCGTACGACCGGCGTACGGTGAGCACCGTATACCGGTATACGGATTTATATTTTTTTTTCCTTTTGTTTTTAAAAAATGGTAGACTTTTTTATTTTTGATCCGGTTTTTATAAAATTTATATCAACATTTTTTATTTTTCATGATCTTTCAAATGAGACCAATATTGCTTATGCAATTTTAAGAAATTATCAAACTGTTATATTAATGAGTATTGGATTATAAAGAAAATCGAATTAAATTTAATACAGAAAAATAATTGTGTAAATCACAATTTATCTTAAAATTGTGTATATAAAAAATTTATTGTATTAGGTATTTATACATGTGAGTTACATATTTTTATATGTGAAGTTACATATTTTTATACGTAAAGTTACATATTTCTACACGTGAGTCGCATATATATACACACGAGTTGCATTTGACTTGCCTAAACGCGAGTTACATATATTTACACGTCAAGTTACATATTTTTATACTTAAAGTTACATATTTATACACGCGAGTTACATATTTATACACACAAGTTGCATTTGACCTGTTTGAACGTGAGTTACATATTTTTTTACGTAAAGTTACATATTTTTACACGTAGAGTTACATATTTATACACATGACTTGCATTTGACCTGACTGAACGTGAGTTACATATTTTAACACGTAAAGTTACATATTTTTACAAGCAAATGTTAATATGTTAAAATTAAATAGGCAATATTGGTCTAATTTGAAAGATCATGAAAAATAAAAAATTTTGATATAAATTTTATAAAAATCGGATCAAAAATAAAAAAATTATTAACATTTTTAAGAAAAGAGAAATAAAAATAACAAAGCTAAATGCACATAGATTGTCCGTAATGAGCTTCTCTTTCCTTGCAAATTGGGATGGTATACCATGCGAACTGTGGCTCCTTGCCACTGCTCTCAAACCGCGTTGGATGCACTAAAACCAGCGATTCACACTTCATTGACTCCTTTCCTGAAACTCGTTCGTGTCCGGTATTATTAGTGTAGTCGGGTTCATATTAGCAATTTGCGCGCATATACTATTTCGTTCTCAATATAAAGCGCGTGCTACAATCCATTTCGGGTAAATATGTAATTCAAATCCACCTCCAAGTGGTCAGTGGATATATAGAGTGACATTTGTTTCATAAATTATTACGGAATACGTATCATTTATTTCCCCTGAAAAAATGTCTCTTATAGTATCCGTATTATGTGCTTCCTTGCTTATTGTGGTGGTTCTGTCAGCAGAAGTGAGCAGGTTGGAAGTTGAGGTAGAAGCCATGAAAGCTTTCAAGAACTCCATTCTTGAAGACCCTGTAGGTAATCTTGTTGACTGGATTGATGCGGAGCACCATTGCAACTGGACTGGAGTTGCATGTGATCCTTCCTCAAGACAAGTCTTGAACATTTCACTGGTCGACATGAAGCTAAGAGGACAAATCTCTCCCTTCATTGGAAACCTTTCCAGCCTCCAGGTTCTTGATCTCACCCTTAATTTCTTCAACGGAAGAATCCCATCCCAGTTGGGGCTATGTTCAGAGCTTCTCCAGCTCATTCTTTTTCAAAACCAACTTTCTGGCGAAATCCCCTTTGAGCTAGGCAGACTTGGAAACCTTCAGGTTCTAGATTTTGGGAATAATTTTCTTGATGGAACCATACCTTATAGATTATTCAATTCCACTTCCATTTTACAGATGAGCCTCATATTCAATAACTTCACTGGGAAAATACCCGAAAATATTGGTCATTTAGTTCAGATTGAGATTTTTGTTGCCTATGGTAACAACTTAGCTGGACCCATACCCAAATCCATTGGGATGCTGACAAATTTGCAGGCTTTCGATCTTAGCCAGAACCAATTATCGGGACCTTTACCTCCACAAATAGGTAACATGTCCAGTTTACGTTTTCTTCAGTTGCATTTGAATCTCCTTTCAGGGAATATCCCATCTCAGATTGGTTTCTGTAGGAATCTATCTATTTTGAACATGTACAACAATCAGTTCACGGGCCTTATTCCTCCTGAGATGGGAAATTTAGAAAAATTGGAAATTTTAAGGCTGTACAAGAATCAGTTGAACTCCGCGATTCCTGGAGAGTTATTTAAATTGAAACTATTAACCGTTTTGGGGCTGTCTCAGAATGAGTTATCTGGGCACATTCCTTCTGCTTTGGGATCCTTACCATCACTACAAGTTCTTACCCTTCACTCAAATAGGTTCACTGGCCCTATTCCTCCATCCATAACAAAGGTGACAACCTTAACATATCTCTCCCTTGGGTTCAATTCTTTCTCAGGACCAATCCCTTCGGACATAGGAATGCTATACAATTTGCTTAACCTTACGATGAACGATAACCTCTTGGAAGGGCCAATTCCTTCCAGTATCATCAACTGTACAAGTCTGCAGACCATAACTCTCACTAATAACAGGATCTCTGGAAGAATTCCGCAAGGGTTGGGGCAGTTGGGGAATCTCAGCTATCTATCTTTGGGGGGGAATGAGCTCTCCGGTGAAATCCCGGATGACTTTTTCAACTGCAAAATGCTTCAAGTTTTAGACTTAAGTCAGAATAATTTCAGTGGAAAGATGAAACCAAACATAGGGGGTCTATTCAATCTGCGTATCCTAAGGGCGCGTGACAACTTGTTCATTGGCGATATCCCGAGAGAGATAGGAAATTTGACGAATCTGAGGGATTTAGTGTTACATAAAAATGAGTTTTCAGGCATTATCCCGATTGAGCTCTCGAAGCTCAAAAACCTGCAAGGGCTTACACTTTTTGACAATGAGTTGGAAGGGCTTATCCCCAATAAACTCTTTGTAGATCTTATACAGCTCACATATCTCCATTTGCAGAACAACAGATTGGTAGGTCCGATTCCAGATTCTGTCACGAAACTTGAGTTTCTTTCTCAACTTGATCTTAGCGGTAACATGTTAAACGGGACAATCCCGAAAAACATGATGCGCCTTAGCAGGCTCGTGATGTTGGATTTGTCACACAACAGTCTCACTGGAAATCTTAATCCTTCGTTCGTGGGAAGCATGAAAGGTCTGCAATTTTATTTAAACCTGTCAAACAACTACTTGGAGGGGAAGATTCCGGAGGAGATCGGGAAGTTGGAAATGGTTCAAGCAATAGACTTGTCGAACAACAACTTTTCAGGAAGCATCCCCAGTTCGTTAAAGAACTGCAGAAACTTATTCTCTATTGAGCTCTCCAGAAACAATATATCTGGCAAGGTTCCGGATGCTGTTTTCAGTGGATTTAGCGAAATCGTGAGCATAAACCTATCATATAACCAACTACACAACGAAATTCCTGAAAGTTTAGCAAAAATGCCCCATCTTCAATCTCTAGACCTTTCTCACAACAATTTCAATGGCACTATTCCAGAAACCCTTGCCAATATCAGTACCTTAAAGCATCTCAACCTTTCATTCAACCAACTTGAAGGTCATATTCCAGGGACAGGTGCATTTGTAAATATTAGCCCTACAGATCTGGATGGAAATCCATCTCTGTGTGGAGAACAGTTGCTCAAGCCTTGCAACCATCTGAATTCTCACAAATTGTCAAGACGAAACATGACCATTCTCGCAGCTCTGGCTTCTATTCTTGTTCTCATTATGCTGTCACTGGCAATTTCTTTTCTGCTACACCAGCTCATCTTTAAGCGCAAAGTTAAAGACAGTAAAAGCAAAGTTCCAGAAATGACTGCTGCTTTGAGCCTCAAGAGATATACCAGAGAGGAACTGGGAACCGCCACTGATTCATTCAGTGAAGATAACATCATAGGATCCAGCAGTTTAAGCACCGTGTACAGAGGCGTGCTTGAGAATGGACAGGTTGTGGCAATTAAGATACTGAACTTGAAGCAGTTTTCAGCAGAATCGGACAAGTGTTGGGACAGAGAAGTCAAGACTCTAAGCCGACTGCGACACAGGAATCTAGTCAGGGTTTGTGGTTATGCGTGGGAGAGCCAGAAGATGAAAGCATTGGTTTTAGAGTACATGGAGAAGGGGAACTTGGACAGAATCATACACAGTAGTGATGACGACGAATCTGGAAGAATGGTGATGACACTGTCAAAGAGGATTGAGGTTTTGGTATCGGTCGCACGCGGGTTGACGTACCTGCATTCGGGTTATGATTTCCCCATAGTTCACTGTGATCTGAAGCCTTCTAATATTCTGCTGGACCGCCATTTGAATGCCCGGATCAGCGATTTTGGGACAGCTCGAATGTTGGGAATTCATGAAATCAGCAGCAGCAGCAGCATTTCATCCGCATTTGAAGGAACAATTGGATACATTGCACCGGGTATTCTTCTTCTTCCCAGTATTCTTCTATTAACAGTACTCCCTATTTGGTAATAATTTATTTTTTGGTATTCGATTAAATTCTTTTACTAATGTAATCCAATTTCAATTATATTTTGTAAAATAGTAAACATAATTTAGGAGTTCTCTCTAAATCTAAGCTATTTTTGTCAAAATACTTTACCAATGATATGAGCTCCAAACAATATGAATAACTTTTGCCGAGCATACAGTTAAGAATTTGAGGAAGTACCTTTTGAGTTGTGAAAACTTAATTATTCAAAAGCTTTGTGAAAAAAAAACACTTCTAGAAAGTGAAGGGTGAAATGCATATGATGCAGAATTAAGTACAAATAAGAAGTTGATGTGTGTTGCAGAGTTTGCATATATGAGGAAAGTATCAACGAAAGTGGATATATTCAGCTTCGGTATTATAGCCATGGAGCTCATGACAAAGAGAAGGCCAACTGGGCATATAGGGGAGGATGATCATCAGCCAATCACATTGCGTCAACTTGTGAAGAAAGCCATTGCTGATAGCAGCAGCAGCAAGGGGTTATTTCAGATTCTTGATCCTTATCTAGCTGCAAATGTTTCAATGAAAAAGGATGCAATGCGAGAAATTCTAGGCTTAGCTTTGTCTTGCACTTCAACAGACCCTGAAGATCGGCCCGACATGGAAGACGTTCAGTCATCACTTTCATGCCTAAGCAAAATGGCACGATAATCAATCTGCCATGACTGCATGCAGCAGTGAGATTGCACGGATATAAGTTCAATTACGAGTATTTGTAATATCATATCCCAAGCAGAACAGCTAGCCTAGAGAGATTGTGTGTGTGTGTGTGGGGGGGGGGGGGGGGGGGGGGGGGGGGGTCTTACAGAATTTTAGTTAGAAGTGAGAACCACTGCCGTCCTTGAAAGTTTCTGAGGCCCTGAGCCTAGTGCCGACCCTATGAGTTGACAAAAAGGGGGACGATAAAGTAGGAGGAAAAATAGAGGCAATAATTTGTGTCTATTATTACGTATGTGTGAGTAGATTGTTTTTTGTTCCTTTAATCTCAATAGTTTTTATGTTTATAGTAAAATCTTTTGAAAAATAATCATATATACATAAAAGTTTAAAAGGGAGCAGAGAATAGAAAAGTTAATAAACGTCGTTTGTATTTGAAATATGAATGTGTGTATCCACAAATGAGGGAGACCGGGAGAGTAGGGGAATATATAGTAGATACATGGGTCTATTCATGGGCTTGGGTTAGGATGGAGTAGTGTATATTTATCAATTACATAACACTCCCACTTAAATATACACTACTAAAGAATATATAAGGAGTACATAAAAATACGCTTAAGGAGTGCTGCCTCATTAAAAACCTTGTCGAGTGAAACCCTGTGTGACAAAACCTTGGCAAGGAAAAAAGAGTACAACGTGTATTTATTCCTCCTAATTAATATATCACTCAAGATCCTTGTGTTGACGTAATCCAATCAGGTGCACTAACTTCTTGAAGGTTGTTGTTGGAAGAGTTTTGGTAAATAAGTCTGCAACGTTATCACTTAAACGAATTTGTTGAACGATAATCTCACCCTCTTTTTGGATGTCATGTGTATACCAAAATTTCGATGAAATATGCTTTGTCATATCTCCCTTGATGAATCCTTCCGTGAGTTGGTGGATACAAGCTGCATTATCTTCAAATAAGATGGTCGGAGGCTCTTTTTCAGACCATAATCCACATTACCGTCTAATATACCGAATTACACTTCTTAAGTATACACATTCTCGATAGGCTTCATGAATGGCTAATAGCTCCGCATGATTAGATGATGTTACCGCAATTGTTTATTTAATGGAACGCCACGAAATTGTTGTTCCTTCACATGTAAACACATATCTAGTCTGTGATCTCCCTTTATGAGGATCAGACAAATAACCTACATCTGCAAAACCAATCAATTCTGTTTCGGACATGTTAGAAAATTATAGACCCATGTCTTTCGTACCTTGAAGGTAACGAAGTACTTGTTTGACCCCATTCCAATGTCTTCGCGTAGGAGAAGAACTATATCTTGCCAATTAATTCACAACAAAGGATATATCGGGTTTAGCGTGAGTTGCAAGATACTTCTGGACCTCATTATCTCCACGGGGTCTAAATGGGTCGTTATCAACTTCAAATTGTCTTACCACCATTGGTGTGCTCAAAGGATGTGCCTTATCCATTAAATCTTTTTTAACACCTTCTCTATATAGGTTGTTTGATGCACAGGGATACCATTATTTAAATGGTCAATTTGTAGACCAATGCAATATTTGGTCTTTCCAAGATCCTTCATTTCAAATTCCCTTTTCAAACATTCAACTGCTTTTGTAGTTGTTCAGGAGTTCCGATTATATTTAGATCATCAACATATACTGCAATGATAACGAACTTCTTACCCGATCTCTTAATAAAAAAAGCATGGACATATTTCGTCATTTTTATACCCTTCTTTTAATAAGTATTCACTTAGGCGATTGTACCACATACTCCCTGATTGTTTTAAACCATATAGAGATCTGTTTAGTTTGATAGAATATTGTTCTTGAGAACCTCTATTGCATGCTCCAGGCAGCTTAAAGCATTCCGGAAGTTTCGTGTGTATATATATATCAGTATCAAGTGAGCCATATAAATAGGCCATTACTACATCCATGAGGCGTAAATCAAGTCTTTCACGCATTGCCAGACTAATTAAGTATTGAAAAGTAATAGCGTCCACCACAAGAGAATATGTCTGATCATAATTAATGTGGGGTCTTTGTGAAAATCCTTGTGCAACTAAACGAGCTTTATATCTAATAATTTCACCCTTTTCATTTATTTTACGCACAAAGATCCATTTATAACCCACTGGTTTAACATCTTTTGGTGTTTTAACCATAGGTCCAAAAACTTCTCACTTTTCTAGTTATTGTAATTCAGCCTCAATTGCATCTTTCCACTTTAGCCAATCATCTCTGTGTCTACATTCTCGCATTGTTCTTGATTCATGATCCTCATTTTTATTCATTATACCTAGCACTATATGATATGCAAAAATATCATTTTCTTCATCATCATCAACGTTGATTTCATGTCGGTTCCAAACAATTTCTGACACGACATAATTTATTGAGATCTCTTCATTTTCAGGTACTTGGTCCTTTTTTGGATTTATAATCATGTCAATGTTCTCTTCAGGAGAATCTACTTTTAAGTTTATTTTATCCTCTTCTTGGTCATTTTCATTCTTTGTTCCCTCTTTTTTCAAGGATTTTTATCTTTGGAACCAATTGATCTCCCACACTTCATGCATGCTTTTGATTCATTTGCAGTGATATGTCCTACTAGGACATTTAGTCTAAAAGGAGCATTGACAACTGGTACTAGTGACTTTGTCACTCCTTTAGTATAAGTAAAAACGTCTGGCAATTGATTCACTAAACCTTGTAAATGTATTATCTTTTAGAATTCAATTTCACATTCGTTAGTGTGAGTAGGGATGGATTCGGTTCGGGCCACCCGGCCCGTGACCCGGCCCGGCCCGGTACTGTGCGGGCCCGGGACCGACCCGGTCAGGCGGTCCGGGACCGGGTATGGACCCGAACCGGTGGGAAGGGGCGGGGCGGGCTCGGTGCTGGATTATTGTGACCCGGCCCGGCCGGGTCGGGCCCGGGCCCGGGTCTAATTTTTTTAAAAAAAAAAAATGGTTTGGGCTACTAGCCGTTGGGGGTGGGGCTGGGGACAACCCAAACGGCTATATAGCCGTTGGGTGGGGTAAAGGGGGGGTCCGGGGGGGTTGGCTGGTGGGGGGTGGTGGGGGGGGTGGGGGGTAAAAAAACCTATAAATACTCCTAATCTTAAACATTTTTTCATATCTCTTCTCCAATTCTTCCTAAATCCTATTCTTAACTCTCTACTCTCTAATTCTCTTATTCTCCATTCTCCAATATATTATATTTATTATTTATAGTTTATATTAATTATCTACTTATATAAACTATAAATAGATATAAATAGTATTATATTACTTATATTTGTTATCTAATTATATATTACTTATATATTTATTATATCTATTAATATAGTTGGAATTATATCTAATTAATTTGAAGTCATTCTATTACTCCCATCCGAAAGACCGAAAGTCCGAAAGAGGTACGAAATTATTCTATTATTTACACTTGTTTAATTACTAGTGAATTTGCTACATTTGACTCTTGTTTAATAGTTAGATAAATAGTTAATTAGTTTTTTACAATTTTTTATTAATTGCTACATTTGACTCTAGTTTAAAAAATATGTTGTACACAAAACTAGTTAATTCACTACTTAATTTGCTATAACTCGAATTAATAGTTAGATAAATAGTTAATTAGTTTTTTACAATTTTTTATTAATTGCTACATTTGACTCTAGTTTAAAAAATATGTTGTACACAAAACTAGTTAATTCACTACTTAATTTGCTATAACTCGAATTAATAGTTAGATAAATAGTTAATTAGTTTTTTACAATTTTTTATTAATTGCTACATTTGACTCTAGTTTAAAAAATATGTTTTACACAAAACTAGTTAATTCACTACTTAATTTGCTATAACTCGAATTAATAGTTAGATAAATAGTTAATTAGTTTTTTACAATTTTTTATTAATCGCTACATTTTTTAGATGGATCGTCCTAGATATTCGGTTGATATGGGTAACCTCGAGCGCAACCGAACGAAAGAGCTTGCGAGGAAGAGATCCCGCAAAGGTAAATCACATATCGGCTCTTCATCTCAAAGTCAAGATGATTTTGATACGGGTTACGTAAGGAGGGATGGGGATGCGATGACCGACGAACAACTAGAACAAGAATTGCACCGACATAATTCCCGCTTTTTTCAAGACCAACCGAGGACCATTGACGAAGAAGAGCTCGAGGACGAGGACGACGATGTGGAAGAAGCAATTCCGGAGAGCCACGACGACGAGGAGGAGGGGGGGTGGCGGCAACCATGACGCCGACCAAGCAGCCTCATCCCAAACAGGTACAAAAAAAGTAAATCTGAATTAATGGCTAATAATTTTTCTAAGTGGAAGGACCCGAACACCGGGAATTGGACCGCGACTTGCAATTGGTGCAAGAAAAACTATAGTTTGGGGATTTCCGGCGGATACGGATCCGCCACAAGACACCTTAAGTCCAAACACCCGGTGGAGTATGCAAAATTAGGCGGCGGAACGGGGAAACAAACGCAAATATCGAGGTTTGCAAATAACCAACAAGCTTTTGGTAATTTCTCATACAATGATGCACAAAATTTGACAGGTATGGCTAACTTACTTGTTGAAGAAAATTTGCCTTATTTGTTTTCTGAAAGTCTTGCTTTTCGTGATTATGCACAAACTTGTTTAAATCCGCAATATAGAGGTTATAGTCGCAAAACGGTTAAGAAAGAAATTTCAAGGCTTTATGGTGCGGAAAAGGTAAGGTTACATAATTATTTTGCAAACTTTGATGGACGTGTTACTTTATGTTCTGACATATGGGAGGATACTTATCATAATTTACATTATTTGGGTCTGACTGTACATTATATTGATAATGATTGGCATATGCATAAACGTGTTCTTGCTTTCCGTGAATTTAATGATCGTCACACCGCTGAACATATTTATATTTTGATTGAACGTATTTTAATTGAGTATAATTTAATTGATAAGGTGTTTGCTATTGGTTTTGATAATGCTACTAATAATACTGCTGCTATTACTAGATTGCGTGAATTGTGTGGTTCTACTTCTTTGATGGGTAGATTT